GTCCTATATTCCCACATCTGCAGCTCCAGGGTGAAAGCGAAGTGACGGTTCAAACCCGTGAAGTAACAGGTTGAGTGTGGCACTGCACAGACACAGCAGTGCCATAACCTCATCTTTGGGGGGAGCTGAGTTGAGTGCAATTCCGAGGGCCTGAGCTGAGAAGTGAGAAGGGAGTCATATAAAGGGGCCCTCAGTCCTCACCTCTTTGTGAATTGTGATAAATCATAGATAACTCCATGTGAAACCAATTGGGGAAAGGGTAGCTAGTCCGTAGTAAAATTTCTGAGAGAGAGGAATCAGTAAAGCTTTGTTCATGTGTCTCGTTAATGGTGCAAGGTGCAGAGAGATGCACAGACACGAAGATTCTATAGGCTTTGGCTTATGGGAGTGCGTGTGCTCGTGTTGTGTGTGTCTGTGCCTGACTTCCATACTTTAACAGATAAATCACGAATAATGGCAGTGGGTATCCCAGGCTGGGCCTGGGGTTGTTTTTGGTTGCTTTTTCTTGCTGGCTGCTCCCCAAGTGGGCCTTCTCTCTCTCTCTCTCCCTCTCTCTAACCCAGCAAAAGCTGGCTCCAGCAGCATCAATTCCCATTCCCAAATACCACTTTTGTTCCCTTTTTAAAGCGCCTTGATATGCTGATTTACCCAAAAAGAATAAGCCCTTAGTTTCGCACGGCTCATTATCTCTTCCAAGTTTCCGACTAGTTGGACGAAATTTAAACTTTTGACTGGTAGTTTATCAGATAACATGCATCACTTAGAAAGAAAAACAAAAAAAAAGAGGAAAAAAAAAGGAGCAGTGGGTCTACAGACCCGTTTCAGTATCATATCTCATGTCTTATGTACGAAGGATTAGGACATCACCATCCAATAGGATCCCACATTCCCACCTAAGAGATTTCCTGGGCCAAGAATCAACATGATCAGAGCCCAGGCAACTTTCTCAGCCTATGGCTTATTTCATACCAAGGTTTTAAAAATTAAACCAGATATGAAACCGTTTTAACCACCGGTTTTTTTTGGATAAAACATTCCAACTACATTCAGTTTGAACAGACAATTGTTCTGATTTAAAAAAAAAAAACAAATAAATAAACTAGAAAAATGGCCAAAAACCGTTTTTCAAATCAATGGGTTGATAATTCCATCACCCAAATAAATGGGTCATTGACCAAATCAACAGAAACAGAACCGATTGCCTGACTGATTCCCAAGTCATCCTATTTGGCCATCCAGTTCGGTCTGATTTTCAAAACCATGATTCATACAAAAATATTTGATACACATTTTAAATTTTTATCAAAACCGCATTAGACAACAAATTATTCAAAAGATGAAAAGAAATAGGAATTCTCCATGAAAAATGTCTGTGTAAAATATGCTGAACTTTTCATTCCATAATACAAGTCAAATTCATGTCTGGGCAATATCTATGATGCTGAAAAGATATGAACTTATGATACTGGAAGAGCTACGCCCAATCAAACACTCCCCAATCCTTCGTGAATTTTGATGAAAACCACACACTTCATTACCACTTTCATGATAATGGTTTTTTTACTTTTTTTTTTATCTTTATTTTGAGAAGGTCCGCCTTTCCACCAAATCATTCATGAGCACAGATAACAAAAAAAAAAAAAAATCAAGAGACGAGGACCAAGTACAAGGTCTAGGTAGACGAGAAGCAAACTTGGTGATATAGTAAGCCGCATGATTAAAAAGAACATAAAATTTACTTGCAATTAGCCATGATGTGTTGAATTCTCCAAGAAAACCCCCAAACTATATCAATTTTTCATCAGTTATGATGCCTTCCTATTTGGCATCAGTTGTGAGCACTGAAGACGACTTCATTATACACTTTTTTTTTTCATCAAATGTAGTTTTGACACATAAAAATAGCCTTGGCTGGGTTTGGGGAACACCTTCTAGTCTGGCGAGGGTCTAATAGTGTCTGACCCAGTGCCTGTGTGGGCTTTCACGCGGGGCTTTTGTTATTGTATGAGCCAATAATTCCCGAAACTTGTAAAGTCCTGTTTAGGCTCAGTTTGGACAAATATGTACAGTGCAAGTACATATAATATAAAGTGTAAGATTTTGCACTGTATATATTTGTATTTATATCCCTTTCAAATTGAGCCTTAGGTTGTATTTGGTTGCATTGTACTGATGTAAAATCATGATAATGCAAATGATTTGAGTATAAGTTCTGACCTATTTTTGTTTCAAACTTTTGCTTATTTTGTTTGATTACAGTTCAAATAAAGTAAATTAAGACATGAAGTAGAATCAAGTTAAATCCACAATAAAATTAAACAAGAATTTATATTTTTTATATTTGCACTTCCATGCAAATAAATTTGCAGCCATGTTTGATGATAATCAGACCGTTCAGATCAACAATAGTTCGAAAACATGATCAACACAACTCAATCACACAGAAGCCCTCCCAAACAGGCTCTAAGTGCCTGTGAGGCTTTCAGATTGTATGAGTTAGGCCCCACCTAAACAGCCATGTTTGATGATAACTCCAGAATGCCCAAAATAGCTGTTTGTCAGCCAGAAATAGGGCTTTCCGGTTTCCACTCAAGCACCTTTTAGTGGCTTGTTCAAAGCAGCTCAACTAAAATCTCAACCCTCCCAAATGGGCCAACTAAAAAGCAAGCTGACGCAAACCGTAAGGTTAGTCTAATGGGCTTGGAGCGTTGCGTAGACGGAATCTGAGCCGTCGGATTTTGACATTCTGCATAGAGTCTCTTTTTGGCTTTATTCTTGATTCCTCCGTTACCATATGCTTTCTCACATGGCTGACCTGCTTTGTAACCTTGCTATGCTTCACATTTGCAGCTTTCCATGCCAACCAACCATTCCTTTTCCCAGTTTCAACGAGAAATGGTGATAAATAATTTAAAAAGGTGTCAAAGAAAATAGAATAAAACGACCTGGAACCATTAGATCTTGATCCAACGGTGCTGAAGGGATTAACAACAATAAATATTCCTTTCGAAGTTTTAAAGATAAAAATCATCATGAAAGGCAACCAAGAAAAACTACTTTTAAAAGCAAGAATACCACAATAGTGCTCAAGATAAGAAAATTGCAACTACAAAAGGTGGGAATGTTTGTTTAGCTACCCCTAACTTGTAATGAGAACCGCCGAAGAATCACGTCAAGTTGTGCTTTGGTTGGTTTAAAAATCTAAACCGGTGATCAAACCGATTTGTCATCGAATTGGTCTAAGCATGATACGAGCGAATCATATTTGCAAAGAATTGAACCGGATGACTTTTGGTTTTGGAAAACAGAATCATATTTGCAAAAACCCCCCTTAATGCAGAAAAAAATAAATAAACATTAATGTTACTGGAAAAAACTAGCTCTATACCAGTCAAATTGAATTATTAAAATTTTTAGGGTTTGGTTATGATGTAGAAAGGACATGATACCCAAACAACTTACAATCAATCAACTGGCATCATAAAAATAGTAACCAATCATGTGAATTTTCATCAAAATTCATAGGAGGTTATGATTGGTCAAAGTCTTTCCATATTATATCTTTCTGGCATCATAGATTTTCTCAATTTTTAGACATTTTGGTTAAAATCGATTGGAATAAATGTGAGTCCGGTTCAGTTTATTAAACCTTAAAATTGTAATTGTATCCAAGGTTCAAAGTATCAATACGATACGCATTTCGGCCGTATCGTATCGGTACTTAGAAACGGATGAAACACCTTTTTTTTTAGTTTTTTTTTTCAAAGTTTGGTTTTTTGGGAAGCTTAAAACATGTTTTTTATAATTAAAAAAAATGGGGTCCAAAACACTTGAAAACAGGCATTTCAGACCGTATCTTTTTCAAAAGATATGATACAATACGCCCAATACAAAATAATATCGTATCGATCCATGATTGTATGACACCCATACATGTAAACACCTATCCCAACCTTGGGTTGATGAGTTGAAGATAGGATTAAGGTTCGGGTTGAAAAGTGTCAATCTGATATAGAATCGGGTTAGGTTAATTAGGGTTGAGAACCTGATCAGGATCAGGGTTGAAGTTTTGACACATCCATTTGGATTAAGATTGACCTCAACCTGAGCCAACTGGCCTGAATTGCAACCTCTCACCTTTCCCCACCCTCACCCCTCTCAAAGCTCAAAGCCATTGGCAGAAAAGAAGGAAAAGAAAAGAAAATTTTAATGCCACTTTTTTCTTGTTTACGCAGATGTAATGTCACTTTGATGTATTTTTATTGCAAAAGGTTCTTTCTTTCAACTTTATACGAATATATAGTGCTGCTAGTAGCATTTTGGATAACGCTCCTTCCACATTTCTACAACAAGCAACTCTGTGTGCAACTCCAGACCATGGAGTTGTGGGTGGCCTCTTTAATGGGCCAAGGCTCAGCCCAATATTCTGACGTTAGGGGAAAAAGGAAGCAAGAAATCTCACAATCTCAACCGTCCAAGATATGACCCCACAGACTATTACCACAGTAGCATACTCCCCTTATAGAGCACATTTATCTGGGAACTGGGATCCCATTTCTGAAACCTCCCCTGAAGTAGGGTATGGTTCAACAACTCTCTTAAACTTCAGGGGAGATTTCACGAATTTACCCTATAAGTTAAAGAACATTCAGCCTACTCAATAAAAAATAAAGAATATTCTCTTAACTCTACTCTTAAAGCCCAAAATTCAAAAAAGCAAAAGATAAAAGCAACTGGTAGAATACATATAAAAAGCAAAAGCCGCACCTCTCCGTGTGAGCGTGCATGCGTGTGGCCGGGCCAACCGGCCCAAACCATTTCTCTCTCTCTCTCTCTTTGTCCCTGTAATTGAAGTAAAGAAGGGAGGAAAAAAGAAGAGGAGTTGCCTCACCTTCAGCTTTCGCTTTATCTTTAGTGCTTTTGCCGAACAAACAGTCTCTTTATCTACAGTAGAGAATTAAAACTTCCCACACTGCCCATCACCCTTTTATCTTGTCTTCTTCTATTCACATATAAAAGCACTTAAAGAGAAACGGATCAGAGAGAGACAAAAACAAGGAGAGAAGAGAACACGAAGAAAAAGAAAAGAAAGAAGCTTACAATGGAGATCTTATCACAGCTGTGGTCGTTGTTGGGGCTTCTCACAGTCCTTCAGAACGTCCTGCCTTCACAACTCCTCTCTCTGCTTCACTCCTTCTACGAGTCCCTACAAGATTTCTTCAGTCCATACTCTTACTTTGAGATCCCTGAGTTTAATGGCTACTGCGGCGTCGATGTCAACGACCTCTATCGCCATGTCAACCTCTACCTCAACTCCATCGACCCTTCTGCAACCTGTCGTCGCCTCACTCTTACTCGTTCCAAGACCTCCAACTGCATCTCCTTCACCGTTGCACCCAATCACACCGTTCATGACTCTTTCAACGGTCACCGTGTCTCCTGGACACACCACGTCGATACCGTACAAGACTCACTGGAGGAGAAGCGCAGCTTCTCGCTCAAGCTCCCCAAGCGGCACCGGCAGGCCCTCTTGTCGTCCTACCTTGAATTTGTCTCTTCTCGCGCCGAGGAGTTCGAACGCGTCTCACGCGAGCGACGACTCTACACCAACAATGGCCATGGTTCCTACGAGTCGGGGTGGGTCTCTGTTCCCTTCCGCCACCCTTCCACGTTTGAAACTCTCGCGCTTGAGCCCGAGTTGAAGGAACAGTTAACGGAAGACTTAACGGCGTTCGCTAACGGGAGAGATTTTTATCACAGAGTTGGACGGTCGTGGAAACGAGGGTATCTGTTGTATGGGCCTCCTGGGTCCGGCAAATCAAGCTTGATTGCTGCCATGGCGAATTTCTTGTGTTACGACGTTTACGATCTCGAGTTAACGAAGGTTTCAGATAATTCGGAGCTACGAGCATTGCTGATACAGACGACAAACCGTTCGATCATCGTCATTGAAGATATCGATTGTTCGCTCGATCTAACAGCGGACCGACTCTCAAAGAGGAAAAAATCATCTACACCGATGCCGGAGAGCCACCGGCGGTGCGAAGACGGAGAGGAAAACGGACGAGTCACGCTTTCGGGACTGCTTAACTTCACTGATGGTCTTTGGTCATGCTGCGGGGAGGAGAGGATTATCGTTTTCACTACGAATCACAGGGACAATGTTGACCCGGCGCTTGTTAGATGTGGACGCATGGACGTGCACGTTAGACTCGGCACGTGTGGAGTCCATGCGTTTAAGGCTTTGGCAAAGAACTACCTTGGAGTAGAGTCTCACATACTGTTCGAGGTGGTGGAGAGTTGCATCAGAGCCGGTGGTGCTCTAACACCAGCTCAGATCGGAGAAATCCTGTTAAGGAACAGGAGAGATGCTGATGCAGCGATTAAAGCGGTGATATCAGCTCTGCAGGAAAGTATTTTGAGAGGAGACCGCGATCCAACGGAAGGATGTCCTCGGGCACCGGAAGATGCAGCGAGAACGCCGGAGAGCGTGGACAGGATGCTATTGGAATCGCCGGAAAATTGGGATTCTTCTCCGGGGAGAATAGGCGGGAAGAGGAGGAAAGAGGGATCCACATGGGAGAAGAAAGTAAAGTTTCTGGTGCGGCTAAAATCGTTGACCAAATCGGACTCCGGGAGGAGAGGTGTCTAACTCTAAAGTCTAGCCCTCTCACTCACGAGCTCAGTCACTCTCTCTCTCTCTTTGTCTCTCTGTATGCTGTGGCCTGAGGCGATAGTGCAGGCTTTTCCTCTTTTTCTTTTTTATTTCTTGAGAACGGAGAGCCCCACCTTTTGACCGGGGATTTTGGGTTCTCTGTAACAACAATTGGATTACCAGAGAAAGAGCAGAGATGAAGAATGAGATTGTGGAATGATGTATGTATGATGGCTATTGATTAATAATAAGACCAAACAACTGAGATGGAGGTGGAGGGTAGTAATGAATGCCATGCACGTAGCCAATTGATGGATCACTGTTCATGCGGTCATGCACTGTGAAGAGTGAAGAGAACGTAATAGAGAGGTGCACCGGCGACCGGCCGGTCCCACCCAATATTTACTATCAGAAACCCCACATAGGATATTGATATATCATATATGAGATGGGTCCTCTATGTATCTTTATCTTTATCTTCCCTATATAGGACAGTTTTTCTGGGTCCATCTCTGTCTGTGTCAAATCTTCTTCTTGCTTATGTTTTATAGAGTAGAGAGATAAGAGATGTATGACAAGCCTAACGTGAACCCTACGTTTTTGTTTTGTGGAGAAATGTGAAAGTAATTGAATCGATGGGCTTTTCAAATAGCTGTAATACATGCGTTTGGCACTTTGATTATGGTTTAATTTTCTGACCACAGAAGGTTTATGGTGATTCTATTTTTTTATGGTAACTAACGTAGGAAGAAAAAAGACCCAGGAAACAGATTGTTACTAAAGAGATATATGAGTTATTATTTGCTTGAAAAACATGTTTTTGTATCTGAGAAACATATTGAGTGATCAAAAATGTAGATGGCTAACTAACATAAAATCAGGAGTCTCATTTTCTTACCATTAGCATTGACCTGTTGAAATATATATGTTAGTTTTCCACAGGATTTTTTTTTTTTTTTATTTGGTGAAAATTTTACACATGATTAAACAACATAAAATGGCAATTTTAAGAAGATCAATTGTTTTCCTTCCTTTTGTATGCAACCAAACAGAGCCTGAATGTCTCTGGCCTATATTCATGGCTATCAAATTTATATCTATATAATATAGAGGAAGGAAGCCAAGAATCCTATCACCTCATCAGTGCTCACAAAAAGCTATTTATCCTTTCATTTTTCATACATGTGGTCATTTATATTTAAATTAAATATATAAAAAATCATATTAAACACTGGTCTTAATTTTGTCTAATAAAACTCAACATTACTCTTTCTCATAACATCATTCTTAAAATTCTCTCTCCCTGCTAGATGTTTGTAACATCTCCGTTCCCTCCCGTATTAAATTCCTCCTTTTATTTTTAATCCGTTTTAATTTAATCTCTCTCTCTCTCTCTCTAATAAAGCAAGGATACAAATGAGATGGATCAAATCAGATTAAGGGCCAGTCCAAGACCAAATTTATCAATCCAAACCTTACCAAACATCTATCAAATCCATTGCATCCCATTGGTTTACTTGCTAGTTGAATATTGTTGATGGTAACTTAATTAAGCAAGGGGTAAAACCTAGATCAAGGCTGGAGGAAGAGAGTTCAGAATCATAAAGGCTACTTTATTTTCATGTTTTGGCACTCATACGTTATTGCAGAGAAATACCCCATGACCTGAAACAATATCAAGAGCCTAATAACTCAATTTCTTCAAAGAGACCTATAACTTTTTGTAACTGTGGGTCACCAGAAACTGCAAACCTTTTTATTCGGCCTTTGCGGTGGCATAATGATTTAATTTTCTTCTGAGGTGGTTTAAGACAAACATAAATCACGACATTAAAGAAAATGCAACAGTGTTGGTGTCTTGACCAATCATGCATAAACATGTCTAATAGGCAAGTGTTGTCTTGAGCCTTACCGCCTCCGGTGTTGATCGAGCTACATTGACTGAGCCGCTTTGAACAAGTTATCAAAACTAACTTCATTACAAAGTTGATTTTTCAGCTCAATCCAAAGTATTTTTGGGCCTTTTGGGTTTTTCACCAAACATTTGGGGCCTACCTTACAAGCTCAGTTTTGCTATGACAGTCTTGTAGCACAGGGCTAAAGCTGATAATCATGACCTTAGATGTATTGCCGTGGCCTCACCAGGACATCACTTCATCTAATTCAAGGTGAGGGCCGTGAGGCCATATAAATACATCAAAGGTTTTGATTTTGTTGTTTCAGCACAGCACTACAACACCGTCTAGCAAAAGTGGTTTGCTACCTTACAACACAGAAGCCACTGCATGAAAGCCCTCCCAAAAGGCTCACAGTTGCAGGATGGATTGGTTGTGGGGCATAGAACACCTTATGGCTGGCATGGGGTGTTATTATGAGTTATACAGCCCACTGCACAACCATTTCTTTCCATTAATCCAGTCTCCTAGTGTGCTATGCCCCACAGTCACTCTATCCCTCGCTTCACAACCGGGAAACAGAACCACTTTGTGTGTGTGTGTGCGCACACACACACAAAAAGAACATCCATTAAGGCTGTGTTTGGTTTGAAAGAAAAGGTAGGGAAAGGAAGGGAAAGGCAGGGAAACTTTAACATTGTATATGTTTCCCTACCTTTTCCTTCAAACCAAACACAGCCTAATAGAACGGTGGGATACATCCACTGAACTTAGGCTCCATAGCCAATCACAAAATGCGGGCCTGAGATCTAACGGGCCCTTAGACCAGACCCCCTTAGAGGCAATATTATGGACCACTACATTGGCCTCCCTGGCTAGGAACATGAAGAAAAGCAATTCCCTGCAACTCAGACGCTAAGGCTGTGCTTGGTTTGAAGGAAAAGATAGGGGCTTACACAGGTTTATTTGGGGCAAGGTTCATAACATGTCATACTGTACAAACCATGTTAGCAATGTAATTGGGACCCCAACTCTATTCTTAGAGTTGAGAATCAATTGTCCTTCAGCCTCTGGCCTGAGTTCAATACCAGGTTTTAGCTCAAAAAGTGAATCAAAGACTAATCAGAACCAACTGACCTCTTTCTAGATCCCTAAAATTCTATAGATATCCAAGACTAATCAATCGAGTGACTCTTTTAATGAAGCTCTAAATTCATGCAAAATCCTGCTCAAAGAAGATTTTCTCCTATGTATAACCTACTTTTAATATCCATAATCCCTTGGGAGCACAAGGGAAAGGGGAAAAATCAATATCCAAAATCAACCCAAAAGTTCAACAAAGACTAAGGCTGGAACTGATATACAAGTTGAAGGCTCTAAATAGAGGGAAGGAGAAAAGATTTCTCAGATGAGGTAGTGAGAGAAGAAGAAAAAGCTCATAATCTGATGGAAGATATGCCCTTGAAAATAGTTATGATGGGTGTACAATACAATGGAGATACAAAAAAGGAGGAAAACAATTCTGTAACCATGCATTATGCTCCATCACACTTCATTTTCCCATCTTGAAACCATTTAATGTACTAACATCTTGGCTTGGTAACAAAGCCAGAATAAATGGCATATGGTCCAGTATACATCAAACTATAACCTTTTGTTGTAATACAGGAGCAGATGATTTGAATAGATAAAAATGATAACCTTTAACCTCAGATTTCATGATTACAATACGTACTTAACTATCTGAGTTCCAAGTATGTCATGGGGGCAGAAATTAAATCTTTGAACATAAATGGTTACAAATAAGGAAAGAAACTTTGAAACATCTTCAAACTTGCTTCCAGGCATTGTTTCTGTCGAGATTTACTCTAAGAAGCATTGTCTTGTTCCTTTCATGAAGTAACATGAATATGAAGATTTCATGAAGTATTGTCTTGTCATTCTTCTATGCTGATATATCTTAATATGACATTACCGGAATCTCTCCCTTATGATTTTAACACTCTCCACTTCCCATCCTCATTTCTCACAAGAATGAGAAAATAAAAAATGCTCTTTTAGTTGCCTACAATGATAAGTAATAATATGTTCAGCTCCCTCTGTAGTCTGTATATTCTTATGCAATGCTATCATTCAGTTCCACCCAACTGCATCCCGGAACCTTCTTCAAAGCCTTCTTTTTCATACTTATTCTCAAACGTGCCATATCATCCCAATGACCAGTCACAGCAGACACGTTGGCAGCAAGTACATAGTTAGCTCCAAGTTCAGGCTCAACTTTAAGCAGAATCTTGCTAAAGTCCTCATCTACAGGAGGAGCCCAGCCATGATTTCTGCAGGAAACTATGAAACTCCTTAGTATAACTGAGTTGGGGCCTATTGGCATTTTCTTAATAATCTCATAAGCTTCCTCAACCCTCCCAGCCCGTCCAAACAGATCCACCATACAACCATAGTGCTCCACTGTTGGGATGATATTATATATTTTCACCATCTTATCGAAATACTGTAGGCCTTCATCAACCAAACCCAAGTGGCTGCAAGCACATAAAATGCATGAAAATGACATACTGTCAGGCTTCATGTCATCTTTTTCCATTTGGCTAAACAAGGCAATAGCATCTTCCCCACGGCCATGATCAGCAAGGCCAGATATCATGATTGTCCATGTCTGCAAGTTCTTCTCACTCATGGAGCTGAAAACTTGCAATGCTTTTTCTATATTCCCACACTTGGCATACATCTCGAGGAGAGCAGTTCCTAGTGCAATATCCAATTCAATATTATTAATAACAATTTGAGAGTGAACCGACTTTCCCATGCTCAGACTTCCCAGACGAGTGCAAACACAAAGTAAGCTTACCAAAGTGACAGAATTAGGTTGCACATTCTCCAGCTTTATGTTTTGGAACATCCTCAAAGCATTCAAAGGCAAGTTGCTGCATTAATTGACTTGTAAGAGGATGCTTAAATGACAGATAAATGGAACTATAGTAATTTCATTAAGAAAATGGTTACTATTTTTAAACATTGGAACCATATATTATATGGGTCAATGACATCCAGGTCCAGAACTGGCCCAACGATATAGTCGTAGCATCTTAGTTTATCAACTTCTTTCAGTCTGTTAAGACATACTTTCCAAGTTCCAACTTCTGGCAGGGACATGATAAACTGAAGTTTAAAATTAAAGAAAAAAAGAAACAAAACAAAACAAAAATTTACTCTAGAATATCCATTATACAGAAAAACACTGGTTATGAGACATATTCCTTGTATCATTTCACAATTTATGCATGCAATTCCAATGTCACATTTATAGTGTCTATATTTCATATATGGAGATCAAATCAGCCCCTTTCACAATTTATGCATGCAATTCCAATGTCACATTTATAGTGTCTATATTTCATATATGGAGATCAAATCAGCCCCCCCCCCCCCCACACCACAAGACTGCGCCCCACAACCTTCCACAGCCCAATACACGGCGGGGATGTGCTGTGGGACGTTGTGGCAGTCTTGTGGGGGCTGATTTGAACTCTCATATATGGAAGCTAGGTTGGAGACATCCTTCAATGGGTTGTAGCTACCATAAAACAATACCAAAAATACAATGGTTGGAGCGTTAATGCCTACCAAGCAACATATCCCGCTATTATAGAACTCCAAGAAACTACATCTCTATAAGTCATTTCGTCAAACACTTGTCTTGAAAACCCAATGGCACTGCAAGCAGCATACATCCTCAAGAGGGTATTCCCTATATATCGATCTGAATATAATCCCGTCTTGAAAATCAAGGAATGCACTGCCCCTCCTTCCTCTAACATGGAACAACGGCCACACGCTTTAAGAACAAAAGGGTATGTGAAGTTGTCCGGCCTAATTCCTGTCCGGAGCAGTCCCGAGAACAGCTTCACGGCTTCAATAGGTTGTGGGCTCTTCGCATATTGTCTAATGATTGAATTCCAACTGAAGAGAGGCGGTGAAATGGGGAGGCGATCGAAGAATACCCGGGCAAAATCAACTGAAATGGAACAAGCAGACGATATAAACCCCGATACGGAGAGGGGGTCAAAATCGAGAGCGGTTTTGAGGATCAAACAATGAATCTGGAGTAGATGGATGGTAGTTTTGGACCGCAGGAAGAGGGATGGAAGTTGGCGGGAAATCATCACACAGTGGAGAAATTTTTGAAGAACACACCAGTGATAGTCTAGCAAAGAATAATAGAAAATCCATTGGTCTCGTCTTCATAGAGACAAATAAACACGTCTAAGTTTACCAAAATACCCTTCACCATTACGTCATTATATTCGAGAAGGTAGTCAGTCTCCAGGGTGGGAAGAAGAAAGCAAAGAAGAAAGCCCTAGAAAGTAGAAACCATGAAAGGTTCAGAGATTTTGATTAAAACAAGCGAGAGCGAAGGCGAAACTAAGAGCTTCAGTGACAAACCGCAAAAGCCTCCATTCAGACCAGCTAAAGATGACACAAAGCCAATCCTTCAAGATCCTGTACTCTCTCTCTCTCTCTCTCTAGATGGCACTTCATTGAGTTTTGCTGCATTTAGAGATAAATTACATGATTATTTTATGTATTTGTAGTAAATTTTTTTATTGTTTGGCAGATACTGCGATCAGACCCAATTGAGACGGAGGAAGCCGTCCTGCGACTTCCCCCTTTTCCTAAATGGAAGTCCTGAAATTTTGGGGTTTTGGATCGTGGAACTTTTGGCATTTGTTTCAATTGAATTGAATTGAATGCTTTTGGGGTATTTTTATTTTTTCATGTACAATTGAATCAAATTCTTGCACTTCAATGAATGATTTGCTATCATAACGAACTGTTCATCTCTACCATGATATTGCATCTACAGTTCTATTTTTCCTTAATATCTAGCACTGATATCAGAGATGATAATCCCCTGGAAATTAAGTTATTGACTTAAGTCAGCTGGTTTTTGGCTAACTTTTTAGTATGTTTTGAACATGAATCAAATGTGTGATGCTGCAGAGACTTCACAGTTATTTAGCCAAATCTAAGTGCTAACTTTTTTTGCAAGAACAATGGCTTATTTATCATCAACAATCTTGGGACTGTTGGCATGGTTGTGGGTTATTATTGCAGGGACAACCTGTTAAGTTCCACATAATTATAATTCAGATAGAGCCTGAAGAAGTTTGAATGAATGGAAGTATAAAATAACTCATTAGAAAAAAAGATACACAATTTATCTTTCAGACCAAGTTAGGGATGATGAGTGAATGAAACAAAAAAACAATGAAAAGCTCTCCTTTCAGATCTGAGAGATCTTAGTGGGGTGGTTTATATGAACAATAGCCTGATATAATACAAGGCATATTGAAAGAACAGGTATTTTTAGAGTCTTCCTTCTCTTTCTTGGGGAGTTATGAAAGGGGAAGCTGCTCTGTGAAAACAGATTAAGCAAGTCCAGTATTTAATTCTAAAGAGGGTAAATTGAATGGCATATGCAACAGTGGTATTGTCATTTTGAGAAAAGCATGAGGAGAATAGGCATATGAGGTTCATGAGGGAAAACATCATTGGAAGAATTGGGAATGTCATAGTCGCACAGGTAAATTTAAGTCCAAAAAGTTATTCTTAATTGGAGATGGCATCTTCAAGAACACTAGGCCTTTTAGGTACATGAGGAGGAATATGAGAGTAATAGAATTATTCATGTAGTAATTAAGATATTAAAACAAGTGCAGTTATTCTCATCAAAAATAGAATAAAAAAGAAACCCATTACAAAGAGGGTGTTAGATGACTGATATTTTCTACAGGTTATGACTTGAACAAGGTCCAGTTAGGTATTAATTTGATTTGATATACCGACTCAACTCGATCAATTTCCTGATTCCTGAATATTCTTGCCAGCCAGCTGCATGCTCTTAACTGTTGGAAATTGGCAGAACTTCTATGATTCTAATGTGGCTACTGAGCTACTCAGTCTCAGAGCACATTTTAATTTTTACATATTTCTTCCTGCTCCCCATTTTCCCTGTTAACCATGTCCAGAAGGACTAAGGTTGCAAGGCCTTACAAAATCTCAGTGACCCAGGGAACCATGCCCTTTCGGAACGAAAACCGGGGTACTCCCACTAGGGGTGTCAATTAGACCAGATTTGGTCCAATCTGATCCAGTCCAATGTGAGTCTATTACCGGTGGACCAGGATCAGTCCAATCCGGTGAATACTTTGGACCATTTTGGACCAGTCCAATTCAATGTCTGGACCGTCCAATCTGTTCAAATTGCTTTTAATTTAGATTTGGTTCCAACCCAAACCTAATATATTGACACCTGTATTCTTATCTTCTATCAATGGAGCAGACGTTGGTTCAATCCGACCCAATCTAATGTAAATCCATTACGGATGGAACACCCCTATCCACAGAAAGACAAAAAGGCAGAGCCATTCAAGCCAAACAAGGAGCCATGAATTTTCCTTTCAGGTTTCAGACGGGCGGGCTCCGCTTATAATTCATATTCAGTCCAGCATCAAGCCTGGACATAGTTTTTTAGCCTGACGCCCTGATCCAGCAGACCACCCAATCTCAAATGGATTATCCTTTTTCGTTTTTTTTTTTTTTCTGGATCATTAAGTATGACCTGGTTTAATTCTCAGGACATTCACTTGCCACTATGAACCTGATGACTGACTACGCATGACCCCGTACTAAGTATAGGTTCATAATATGAACTATTTCAATTTTTTTTAAATAATCTATATTAGAAATTTAGATTAAGTATTTTATTTTCTTTTTATAAACTTTTATTTGATTTAAGAAATTTACCATATTTTATCTAAAAAATGACCCATAGTATTTATTATTTCATTTGAGATTCACAACTTACGCTTATATGATAAATTTGACTTTGGTTTCTTATTTAATTAAGAAAATTAATCAAGTTTAATTTGCAATTAAAAATTTATGCTTTTTCTTCTTTTTAGTCTATGGAGTAGTAGGCGTGGCAAAATCCTAAGTATGGGACAACTATTATTTTGTTTGAGATTCAGTACATGTATTGGTAAGTTTAATTTGAGTATTTTAGGAAGGTAAAGATATTTTAGGAAGAAGCATTAGATAATTGAGTATTTTGTGAGAGTATAGAATTATAGATAATGTTAAAAAATTTAAAAGAAAAATGTAAGTTTTGACAAATAGTGTAGAAGGATGGAGAGGAGATGCTAACGTAGACAATTACATTTTATACATGTAATACATATCCAATTAATTTTTATTTAAATAGTTGTTTTTAATTTTTTATCACATTTTAATTAACTTAAATTAAATTATTAGTTTTATTTGACTAATAAATCTAAGGTAACTTAATGAAGTTAATTAATCCAATTATTTAACCGTTTTACTAATTATTCAATCATTTTCTTTTTTTTTTTTTGAAATAATCATTTTTAATAATTATTGAATCATTTTGTATTTCTTTTTATAAACTTAATAACTTTTGTTTTATATATTAATTATACATACAAAAATTAATGAATTGAATAATTAATTTTATGTACTAAGTTATTAATTTCATGGTCAGAGACTCAGAGGCATGGCTTGAACGTCAATGCGAGTAAGATGGAAACGTGGAAAGGGAAGAGAATGAAAGAAAACTTACACTCTGTATCTATATACTAAAACAAAGCATGCAACATTGATGGACGGGGTTTCATTTAAAAAAAATAATAATTGAGGAAAATCACGCCCAAAACAATTGGTATGTTACCTTTAGAAAAATGGATTTGGTGCATAGAGTAGGGTATTTGATATTTTAAATGTTTATAGATATGTAATGGAATTCAGAAATTTGCATTGGGCCTGTTCGTACTTTTAAAAAAAAAAAAAATCTTATCATGTCTTACGACATTGACCCATGTTCTTGAAGAAGAGTTTCAAACTGTCAATGGGTCAGTCTGTACGACGGATCCAAACCGACCAAACCGATTATAACGGCTATATTCCAAGAAACTAATTAAAAGAGGGAAATTCATTGATAACAGAATTTTTTATTTTTTGAAAAAAAAATCATTTAAAAATAAAGATAAATTTGTAATAATCTTTTAATGGATTCCATTCTTTATATTTAATTGATTATAAATAAACATGTGTTAAGTTAAATAGGAGTTTAGTGAGAATGTTTATAATAAAATTACCTACCTTTTGGATTCAATTAATACCATGCCACATGTTTAAAAGGGGAGGACTCTAACATGCCTTTAACCATGGCATAGGCATATGCGATGGGTGCGTAGAAGTTAAAAAGCGCTCGTCCTCGTCCGTCTGTCCGACTGTCCGACTGTCCGACTGTGTCCCCTCCCTCACCCCGAAGAAAAAGGGAAGGAAAAGAAAAGGTTACCGGCTCAAATGATGACAGATGGAATTATGAGGATGGAAGACATACACAGACCTTCCATTTGCCCAACCAACTCCCTAAGATTGGAAATGGGCAAATAATCCAGTATATAATGGAAAAACATGCACCGAAACAGCTGAAAACGAAGAGTACTGTGTGTCCTCCATCTCCGTCACACATCAGGCAAACGCAGCAGCAGAAAAAACAATGAGCGTTGCCCTCCTTAGTAGCCAAACATTGAGAGACTTCGTTGAAGACAGCGAGGCCTTCAACAAATGTGTGAACGAACATTTCGCAAAACTGGACGAAAATGGTGATGGAGTGCTTTCCCGTGAAGAGCTAAGGAAGGAGTTCGATTGCCTGTTGTCATTGGGGAAGGAATCGAGACCAGAGGACGACCTGACCACCCTCTACAATATCGTGTTTGATATATTCGACAGGGACCATAGTGGGACCATTGACCGAGAGGAATTCATGACTGAGATGAAGGAGATCCTGCTCGCCATTGGCCGTGGAATTGGTGATTTGCCGGTTCAGGTGGCACTGGACAATGATAGCTTCCTCATGAAAGCCATTGAACATGAATCTGCCAAAAAGGGTTGAAGAAACTTTATGTAATTCTTATGTTAATTTATGATTTCTCGTGTATGCACATAAATGTTAATTGAAGGCTTTCAGTTTCAGCTAATTAATTGTAAGTTTGTAACCCTCCATAATGATTTTGCATCAATATAAATTAGAGCAACAATTAGTGCCTTTAATTTGCCCCTTTGATTGCCTTCTTAATTTCTCTCATGAGTCATGACTTACTTTTTTTTTCTTTTTTTCTTTTTGAAAAAAAAGGAAAAAAAAAAACTTAAATATTTACACAAACCGCATCGCCAGTAGGAATGGCAACGGGACGGGTATGGGGCAGGTCACCCCCTCGCCCCTCCCCATCCCTGTCCCGTGGCTAAAATCCCTTAACCCATCCCCGACATATCCCCGCTCTGCAACCACTGAACTTGGGGATGGAGAATCCCGGACATATCCCCACCCTGCAACCAGCCAAGCTTTGTTGAAACTTGAAATCCCAGGTTATATAGATACTGAGATAATTCAAATCCAAGGTTATCATCTGTTCATTTATTCAATGGCCTAAATGAGTTAATGCACAAAGTATTTTTAGAGTAATAAAATGGACACTCAAAAATAAAAATAAAGATGGAAAAAAAGAATCAGACAATTAATTGTATTTTCAAATGAGCATGAAACATCATGTCAACTAATTACAGCCCATAACTTTAGAAAACTTTGGAGGCAAAGATCAACAATTGCACACAAAAACATAGATGTTGCTACCTACAAAGGATTCATGAATGGAAGGGATTAAAGGGAAGAAGACTAGGCCATAAGTACATGCATTATAATAGATTAAAATATCATTATATTATCTAACTGCACTCTATGATACCTAATTCTTCTTGCACACCAGGAATACCAAAAAGAAGATCAGAAGAAGAAAAACAGAGTTCCATTAAGCTTGATAAAAGTTGAAGAGGTTTCAGATTTTAGGATAAGACTAATACAAATGCATGAAAGTAAAAGCATAAGAATGCAAATTGTGGTCCACTGTTGCTTTGGTTTTACTTTGATTAGCTTCAGGTTTTATTTTACTTTACCTACAATGCAAGAAAACAAAACAAGACTAAAAATAAAACAAAAATGAATCTCTGAAATCATTCCCAATTTAATATGAACAGAATTACCACCTACCCAGGTTTGATTAGCTTCAGGTTTTGTTATGTCATTTTCTCATTTTGGCTCCAAACAATTGTCATTTCAGTTACCCAGCCTCCAGTGAAGTGATTCAAGTGAATGTTATAGTCAAACACACTATCCGTACACAATTTAATATGAACAGAATTACAGAAAGCATCTCTTGATTTCTGACCTGATCATGGGTCGGGCTCAGGCCGAGCTTTGCCTCTTTATCAATAGAAAATGTGTAGTTCAAGCTCAAGTCTAGCCTGACCATCACGCTTAGATTTTGAGTTTAAGCCCCTGCCTTTATATAAAGTCTGAAGTTCGAGCTCGAAGCTTAATCTGTATACAAAATGTCTTATTTTCAGTATAATTTTATAAATTAATATTATATTAATTTAATAATCAATTAATTTATATTTCCTAATAGTAAATTAATATTTATTAATAATTTAAAAAACAAATATATATTATATATATTTATTATATATAAAATAAATGTTTTTTTATTATATGTAATAGTTTCAGGTCAGGCTTGGGCTTGGGCTTGGGCCGGGATTATTTGAGAAAGCCCAAGCCCGAGCCCGCGAACCCGAAATTTTGTCCAAGCCCGAAAAATAACGGGTTGGGCTCGGGCCTGGGCTGGGATTATTTGAGAAAGCTCGAAATCGAGCTTGTGGGCCTAAAATTTTGTCCAAGCCCAAAAAATAACGAGTCAGGCTCAGGCCCGAGCTGGGATTATTTGAAAAATCCCAAGCCCAAATCCGTAGGCCTAAAATTTTGTCCAAGACCGAAAAATAATGACTTGAGCCAAGCCGGGCCATCAGGCTACCCAACCCATGAACAAGTCTACTAATAGGTGTATCATTTAATAGAAAATTTTATTTAGAGCCAATCAGTCAAAAGACTCAAAGCGGCTCAATTGGAGTTCAGGAAGCTCTTCGTGCAGAAAGAAACTTCATTATACACCATTCTAGACATTTTTTTCATTGAACAACCACCATTTTTTCCATCAACTTCATTATACACCATTCCCAACGACTCAATAAATCTACATATATAAAATATAAAATAAATCTCCAAACTTATAAGGCTTAAATACATATTGTTGGATTTTAATCTCATTAGAGATTAAATCTAATGGGGTTTGATTGGTCAATTATATGACAAAGCACATCTATACACATGTTTTGAAAAATAGTTTTTCTCTTACTAAAATCAGTTTTAACTTATCCCACATTGGAAAATTACAAGAATTGTTTTGGGCTTTTCAATAGGAGTTGATTTACACTCCTTAGATATAAAAGATGAGAGTATGGAGGCTTGCTACCGTGCAACGCGTACGCACTCGTGTGCGCCATGTGTGCAGCGCAATGAGGTGCTTTAGAGGTGCACTTTGTTGACCGTTGATGTGATCAACAGCCACAATTCGATCGGGTGTGATCAAGAACCACAATTCAAAGTTAACGGTCATTAACTGTTAACTAGCTTTTAAGGAGCATAAATCACTTCACTCACAATTCAATGTGCCTTCTCTGAACCAGCACCTTCCTCTGCTCCATGACTCTTTAGAAACTATTTAAGGAGCATAAATCAAGCATTTCACACACAATTTCGAAAATCACTTTGTCTCTCTCTCTCTGGTTGTCTCACAAAAGGCTTCTCTTCCAAATATCAGTGACCCCATCTCCCAACACATGCCACAAATAAAGCTTTACACGATTAGGAGAAATACAGAGCGATTTTGAAGTATGGAGCTAAGAGATGGAGAAACAATCTCACTACTACTACAGCCAACTGAGAAATGAAGGAGAATGGAGCCACTAGTCCACACTCCACCACCGATGTTCTTCTCGTTAGTTGATTTATGGTAGGGGTGCAAATGGATCAGATCATTATCCGATCCGATCCTATTTGGTCAAATTCAGATCGAATAATAGGATCCGATCCGAGAAGATCCAATCTAATAAATAATATACCCTGATTCAAATCCAATCCGATCGATTTGCATCCCTTGTTTATGGGACTACGATCTAGTTTTTGGTAGGGGTTGACTTGGGAGAAGTTGAACTACCGATTGCGCTCTATGAAGAGGAAGAGGAGAACTGGAGAAGAGCAAACAACAAAGTGACGAGAAGTTTGGAAGTGAGAAACCCAAAATACAAAACCTAACTCACATATGTCTATATATAAGGGGTATTATTGTAATTTACAATCGGGGTTGGGTCGGGTTCAGGGATTTATATGCAGACCTCATCCCCACCCTGTCTCCGGTTCAGGGTAAAAGAAAAACCCCCAAACCCGATCCATCCCCGTTTAAGGTCGGGTAAAATCTGCCCTGTTTGGGAGATCAAATCGGGAACCCGCTTTTGTGGAAAAAATTGCCATCCCTAATTACCGGGGCTGGTCATGTCATTAAATGCCCTTTTAGGAGGGCTTTCACATAGCGGCTTCTATTATTGTATGAGCAGAGAAACCCAGAAAGCTGAAATGCTATAAAGCCACGTTTGATTAAAAAAAAAGGAAAGCCAAAAATAGGTTTATCTAAATCATAAAATCGACTTTCCGATATATCTCAGGTAGCTTCTCTGAAGTGGCTCAGTCAATGCAGAAGTCTTCTCAAGCGGGCTATAAGAACTGAGGCTGAAGCCTAAGCAACCCAACCAAATGAAAATGACAAGAGCTATTGCCATGAGAGATGGACAAGGACTCAAGTAGTATAAGCTGTGTAACTATCATCCAGATTATTAAGATCAAGATTATCACCAACTGCAATAAAAAATTAAAAAAACATACAAACTTTTCTCTCCAGACTTTCTCTCAGCCAGATGTAATCAACCCAAAGGCTATGATTGGCGTTTCTCTTTTATCTTCTGATATAGGTTATGTCTGGTTTGATAATAAGTGAACATAAAGAGGGAAAGTTTTTAATAAAATTTGTGAAATTCCATTAGAACCTTCCCTCAATTTCTGTTTCTTTTAATGGATATGGTTTGCTTGATAGAAAATAAGAAGGAAATACAGAGTTCAGGGGGAGTTAAAACGAATTTTGTATCCCCAAAGCAGGTTGGATAGTCGTGATATAAAACTAATTTAGTTTGTGTATTACAACAATCTAGTTGGGTGTGCCACTGAACAAAAAGGAATGACGAAACAGGACTCGTGCAGCTAACCCCATATAGTTGCGAGTTGGGAAGGTTTAGATGATGATCATGATCATGATCATGATGATTGCAATATATTAGTGAAACTAAAAATTTTATTGAGCCAAAAAGCAAAAATTTGGTATTAATTACTAAGAAGTTTGTATGGTGAAGTTACAGGGCATGTCAGCTTGTGTTCATTTTGGGTTTGGGAGTTGTTTACTTGATTTGGATAAGTTTGTTTTCTTTGAAGTTGAGGTAGAGGTTTCTGATGGGTTTTTCTTTTTTTGGTGGGTGATTTTTATCACCTTTATTTTTTTTCTTTTTTTTTCCTCGATTTTTTTTTTATTTAGATTGCATTTGTTTGAGGTGTAAATTCAAATTTTATACCACAGAAAAAAATGAATCAATTTAGTGATTGGTGGAAATTAAAACCGATTGATTTTGAAAATTTACACCTACCTTGTTTGGTTGTCAAGGTGTAAATTCGGTGAGGCGGTGCAGAGGAGAAGAAGACGATCTACAAAGGAAGAGGGAAGCAGGGGAAGAAGAAGAAAAATGAGGAGAAGAGAGAAAGAGAGACAGATCAAACAAAATCGGAGGGGCCGCTGCAACTGCTCGACTCAGTTGGACGATCTCGACTTGGTTGGACGACCCAAAAAAAGCATAACAAAATCCAAACAACCTACCATTTCATATCGGGCACGTTCTCTTGACCTCTTTGTTATGTCTCACCTCGCCACCAAACCAAACCCTTGAAAGTAAAAACCACGTAACAAGCCCTAAAACACGATATCCACCATGAACGACAAAGCTCACAACTTCTACAACAACCCAATAGGCCACAGGGGTTCAGATTTGTCAGTGCAACTGGTTGCAGAGACGGTAACGGAAAGAGAAAAAAAAGGGGGAAGAAGAAGAAGAGAGAAGGAGAAGAGAGCGAGTGGTTACCTTTTACATCGATAATTTTGATGTATTTATTACATTGATTATCGATGTAAATAAAATTCAAAATGTAATTTTCAATGTAAAATTACATGTTTACCAAATGCCAATAAAATTGAACTGGGGTGTAAAGTTTACCCCGATTCGATTTTCCACCCCAAACAAACGTAGCCTTACTATCAAAAAAAATGGTTGATTACAACCAGTCACTCTGCACTTGGGGGTAATGATACTTAGCTCCTTGAACTTTGTTTTGTGATAAAGATCCCCCTAAACTTTTAGATTCTAGCACTTTACCCTACCATTAGCATTTCATCCATTAATAGAGTTGGGTCATTACAATTTTTTAAAGCCGTGATAACTAATGTAGCATGTATTCTGCAATGAAAGGAGTCACTAAAACTAAAGAACTCAAATACATGTATAGGATTTACACACAAGAGTTAAATACCACCTTTAGCCTAAAAATTTTAGTCATTGAGTTATTGGTCAATCCTTGTATATAAGCCCTTTGCATTTCTTTTATTTTTTCAATGCAAGACTATTCACCCCATACATTCACATATGCATCCCAACAATCTCTCCATCACATCTTTTTTATATTGAATATACTACCTTCAAATGATAATTGGTATCATATCATTAAGTTTAACATGCACCAACCAAGAGCCCTTTGCTCATAAAACCATAGAGGAAACAACTATGGAATCACATTCTCATAGAAGAGATCAACCACTCTTTCTTAATACATAACTAGAGAAAGTCAACAAAGCCATAGGAGCCATCAAGTGCATTTGTCAACACCTATATATACATCCTAGCCTTTAGCTTTGACGCCACTGCTAAGCCATAAGATATTGTCAAAACCAAGGAATTCAAACACACACGTAGGACCTACACACATGAGTTTGACACAAGATTTAAGGTTAAAGGTTGATACCACTATTTATTATGTAATGAGAGGAATTCCCAAAACTGAAGAGCGCAAACACACACATAAGACTTATACACAAAAGTTTGGCACAACCTTTAAGGTTAAAGGTTGATATTACACTTTAAAAATTTGATACATTATTGTGTAATAAAAGAAATTATCAAAATTGATGAATTCAAACATATACCTAAGACTTACATACAAGAGTTTAGCACAACCTTTAATACCACACATAAAAGTTCGATACCACTGTAATGTAATGAGAGAAATTGCTAAAATCAAAGATCTTAAACCTTTAAGGTTAAAGGTTGATACCACATAAGATTTTGATACCACTATTGTGTAATGCGAGAAATTGCCAAAACTAAGGAAATCAAACACACAAGAGTTTGGCACAACCTTTAACCCAAAAGATTAAGACATTAGCTGTATATCAATCCTTTTTATACAAGTCCCTTATATTTCTTCTTCTTTTTTTTTTTGTATTGAATCATCACCTGTTGCCCTTATAGGGTCATATTTCGTTTTTCTTGGCATAGTACAACACTTTTTTAACAAAAATCTAATAACTCTTCTTAAAGGTGTGGTGGTGGGAGCTGATAGTGGAGCTCGAAACGACTTCACTTCTAGGACTATCCAGTCTACATGCCAATCGAGTCACTACTCAATTGGTCATTGCATTTGTTTTCTTTGTCCAATGTGAGACTCTTCACTCCATACATTAAAACGTGCATCCCAATTTTCAATTTTGATACCACTATTGTGTATAGGGGCGGAGCCAGCTAGGGGGACCTAAGGGAGCCATGGCCCCCCTATGGCCCAAAC